ACTTATACATGAAAGTCTGTGGCATTTCAGTGATATTAGCATAAATATGAAAACAATCCAAATGTCCATCAACATGTGAGAAGATACAGAAATTGTAGTCTTATCTATATAATGGAATACTACTTAGTAAAGGAAAATTTACAGATATACCCATCAATATGGAAGATTCCCACCAATTAATTGTCGAGTGAAAGTAGAAAGACAGAAGAGAGTAACTATTTTTTTAGTTTATTTCTATGAAATTCTAGACAAAGCAAATCTAATCTGAAATAACAGAAAGTGGGTCAATGCTCCTTAGGTTTGAGGGTTGTGAGGACTGACTGCATATGGGCCCGAGAGAATTTTGAGTGGGGGTGATGAAAACATTCTATATGCTGTTGTGGTGGTAATCATGAAGATATACACATTGTTAACACCTACTCCCTGTACATTTAAAATTGGTACATTTTATTTTATGTAAGTTATACTTCAATAAACTTATGTAAAAATCCATCATCACTCTAGTTTGAAGAATACAGAGTGCTGTCTGGAATAGCAGTCCATTTCAAATGATAAAAGATCCAATTTTAAGATGACTTGGGCATATAATACAGTATCTGACATTTCTTTCCAGCAATTAATTACCACCTGGGTAAAGTATAATATTTAAATAATTTGCTATAAAATAACTCTTTTGAAGAAAAAACACTTCTTCTAAAAGTTCTAAGAGAAAAATACTACTTGCTTTTTAGAGTAACAGACACACACACATGTGCAGACATACATATTGCCTATGTGAGAGAAGTTAGCTTTAATTATTTCTTGTTTATATTACCACTTGAACATTTAACCTTTCCCAACTTTGTAGGCTCTATGAGAGCATTGTGGGGGCACTGCCAGTAGATGGAATACTATCAGCACCACTATGGGAAGGAGAGAGTGGGAGAGTATGTTCTGTGAATGGGGAGCTACACTAGTGTAGCCCAGCTGGGGAGATTAAGCCTGAGAGGCAGATGAAGGCTGAGCAACCATTGAAGGACTTCAAGCTGGAGAATCCATGACCAAATCTGCACTGTTAGATTAACTGGGGGCTGAAATGGCAACATTGGTAGGCAGAACATTATAGATGGCCACTGCTTGATCACAGGAGAACAGGATACAACTAGATTAAGGTAATGATAGTGAGGTTCAATAAAATAACATGTTTTTGACAGCATTTAGAAGACAGGATTGAAATTCTGATTTGATATGGCATTAAGGGTGAGAGAGAATTCCCGGATGACTCATGACCTGGGATTCCATCTGAATAATTGTACCATCCATATATATGGAGAATGCAGGAAGAGAAGTAGGTTTGGAGAGAAAGATGATGACTTCATGTCTGTACTTGGTGAGTCTGAGGCACTTGTGTACATCCAAGAGGAGGTATCCATCAAGCCAGGTGAGTATGTGGATGTGGACTCAGGGGTAGCCTGGGCTGCAGTCAGAGATGGGACAGTGAAATTAAAAATAAACTCTCAATCTGTATAAAAGGGGAGAAAAGCTAAAAATGGTTCCATCAAATGCTGAGAAGTAACCAAGTAAATAAAAGAAATATATGCATCAAATAGAAAGTCACTGGGTGACCTTTCCAAGAGCAGTTCCAGGAGAATACTTAAGACAGAAGCAAGAATTTGGGGCTGTGAGGAGTGAAAAAGAAGTGAAGAGGCAGAGGAAGTCAATGTTCACTAATATTTCATTGAGTTTGACTACGATAGGAAGGTGAGTATTTATTTCATTAATAACAGAGGGGAAACAATTTTAAGGAAGAGATGTGTTTGTTTTAAGGTATGGTTTGGGCCTGTATCTGCTGATGTAGGAAGAATTATGTGGGGAATGGGGAGCAACACAAAGTAAAGGGGTCAAACAGAATGTTGTGGGATTAAGAATAAAAGTGGTGGAACCAGTCTTGGACAAGAGGAAAGGCTCCTCTTCCAGTGAGTATAAAAGGAAAAAAGGATTGAGGGTAGGAAGTGGGAAGGGGATGTAGGTGGGGCAGGGGAAAGTGGTGGCAGGAAAATGGAGACAAATGTATTTGAACAATAAAAAAAATAAAAAAATAAAAATAAAAAAGATTTATGCAAATATAGATATGTGGTTGGTTGGTTGGATGGGTGGATGGATGGATAAGCGGGTACTAAGAAGCTGATAAACTTAATGAACCAATTAAAAGGTGAAATTATCTGTTGAGGGGGCAGGGAGCTGATCATGTGAGTTTAAAGAGAGGGGTAAGGATTAGAGAAGGTACTGATGAAAATGGAAAAGCTTTAATATTTCCATAGTATAATGAGGGACTAATTTTTAAAAAATTAATCTCAGTCTCGGTATATGGAAATATGGGATAGTGATTGTCAGTAAAGAAATTGTGATTACATACTGTTTTGTATAAAATATAACTTCTTGCCTCCTATATGGGAGGATGACGGCTAACTCCCTCCTGAAAAAGACATGTTCTTAGAATTCTTCTAATAGCAGTGGTGATGACCTTTAAATTCCCAATGCATTTGACTGATGATTATAAGGATTTAGAATGGAAGCTCTAGCCTTGGAACAGAGTTTTCCTTCAACATTATACTAACTGACCTATTCTAAGTGTCAAACTCCAAAAATCTTAGCATGCTGGCACCAGCCACTGCCACGTTTACATATGAGAGCATTCTATTTTAAACTATGATCTATCTCAGCTTCTTAAATTGTAAGCTACACCTTTCATGTCAAATTTTCCAAAGCCTTGCATAACAAGCATATGAAAAAAATCTCATAAATGCTCCCCAGTAGGGAAACTGCACATGTAACTACCTGTTTATATATGCAGTAACTTGAATTATACATGAAAATTCCACATGGCTGCCCAGAATCAGCACTGTGTTAATTCAAGAAGTATATTAAAATTTTTGGATGTATTTAGTAGCAGAGCCTAAGAAAAATCTGTCCTTTAAACAAGATTTTCTTTAAAAAAAAAAAAAAAGATCTGTTAATTGGAATCTACTGTTTCAAGGAATCTACTCTTCCTACAGAAAAATATCTGTAATAAACATTAATTTTATAACACATTTTTAAAATCTTGGGAAACTCCATATTTAGATCTTTTAAAGAGTTTGTATGGCTGTAAATTTTCCTTATTCTAGAAAATGTAAGAATCATATTTGAAAATAAAATTTAAAAGATAAATGTCAATTGCAGGAGTTATCACCTTTCTATTTGAATACTTGACTTCTATTGGATAATTCTATTCCAAGAGACCTTCTTTGAAAGAGGTGACAGCCAACTCATTGCCTAATTGATTTAGGAACAGTGCCCTGGGAGACAGTCCAATTAAGTTTACAAGCTGGCAATTAGCAGGAAGCCCTCTAAAGCCCTACACTGAGAGCCTGTTTACTTTAGTAAGAAGGCAAATGTGCTAGAGATAGGAATAGAAAGCTGTGCTTTTTGCAAAGCTGTTGTGAGTAGGCCCACAAGGGAAGGCTGAAGAAGAGCTAGGTATATGTGGGCAGACAGCCTTCTGTTTGACAGGTAACTGAGTAATTTATAGGGTATGTGTATGTATGTGTATGTGTGTGTGTGTTTTAACAGACATGCAAAACATCTAACATCCACTTTAATGAGTGTTGTATATGAAGACATACAACTGTTAAAAATGCAGTAGGACAAAGCAGAACTGGATTATCTCATAATAAATGAGATTTCAAACATTTTTTTCTTGGACGATATTAACATTATGAATAGATTTAGTTGCATTTTTATTATGTGAGGAAAAAAAAGCCCTCAAATTATATCCATATCTTTCAGGTTAATCAAGAAATTTTCACTAGATTTATTTCATGTGTTCAATTTCAAAGGCAAATAGGTCTTTTATTAAAAAAACAAAGTAAACAGAGCTATTTAATAAACACTACAATGTCTTCAAAAACTTAATTTTGTACCACAGAACCAAATCCTATAAGGGGTTTTTAAATGTATTTGCTCTCCTAAGTTTTCAAGTAACAATAATATGCAGTAATTAAAATATGTTTTTCAAAACCTATGTGAAGTTTTATCAAAAATTTTTAATTTTACAAACTACCTAAAGAATATCATATATTCCAGGGTATAGCTGGTAATGCAAAACTACAAAAAGCAACTATATCACAATAATGAGATTGTGTTTTAAAGTTTCCTGGTTGAAATGGGCTATATGAATACATAACTTCTATAATATTTAATCCTTTTGAATATTTTTAGCTAAAAAGGAAAACAAAAAAGTTGCAAAAAATCTTTACCAAATACTAAACATTTGCTTTCCCTTCTTTTTTTCTTTTTAATGATTTTATTTATTTATTTTTAGAGAGAGGGAAGCAAGGGAGAAAGAGAGAGAGAGAAACATCAGTGTGTGGTTGCCTCTCAAGCATCCCCTACTTGGGACCTGGCTCTCAACCCAGGCATGTGCCTTGACTGGGAATTGAACCAGCAACCCCTTGGTTCCCAGGCTAACACTCAGTCCACTGAGCCACATCAGTTGGCTGCTTTCCCTTTTTTTAAAACACTTGTTTTACACAATTCCAATCTAGGAAGCAATGGACACCTAAAATCTAAAATAATTTTCACAGAAAGAGTATTATGGTCCTACAAAGAATTTTTTAATGGACATAATAAATGCTTTTAAAATATTCACATACCTACTTCTAAAGGAATTTTTTGGTAGACAGTTTATTTTGAAAAAGTATCAAATGTAAAAGTTCAGGCTTTTGACTCATCACAATGGATACTTAGTGCAATTTCCAAATTCATCAATATTACCACCCAACGGTATTGAAGGATGTTCCTTGACATTGGGAAAATCATTCTCAAAGAGTTCCAAAGGAAATGATATGATATGTTTCAAAGGCAAGCATATTTATGGGATGACAAAGAGGTAATCTACATGCTAAAAATAGTTTATATTAATTATGATATCACCACCATAAACACTTTAATTTACTTACTCACCAGCTTCTTTGACTTACCAAGTTTAAACAAAAGTACACCCAAAGGTCCTCTGTCAAACCTGAGGAAGAGGAGATTGTAGATGTCCTCACTTTCAGGCTTCTGAGAAACAACCTGAGGAGCTACCCACTGCATTTGAACAAGGCTGCTGGAAACATCAAAAAATTTTTTGAACTGCAGAGTCTCCCTAGGTGAGCGGTCTTCAGCCAAGAGTTGGATGTTAATAGGGGATAGAGCCATATCAAAAATTTGTAGCTCTCCTTGGTTGCTGCCAACTAGCAGAATGGTGCCACTTGGGTGGCAGCTTATTAATGAAGGCAAAAGTTCAGCTTGAGCTAAAAGAGTCACTCTACGATGAGTTTCATAAAGAATTACTGAAGAATCCTCACAGCCCAGAATCAGTTTGTCTTCAGTAACATTCCTGCAACAGCTAATGGCCTTGGATCTTAGTGGTATTCTGGTGACTGAGACACACTGAATTTTGTTCCGAACACATTCATAGATGCAGCTGTCAGCCATAGGCTCTTTGTCTCCACTGATGGAGTGCTCCACTGTCAACACCTGGCAAGTCTGTTTGGTGCCAAAGCAAACATCCAGTGGATCCCATTCTGTGCGTACAGAACTCAGAACCTGAAAGAAATGTATGAAGTATGTTCACAAAGAACTTGGTTTTTCTTCAGCTGTCACACATATGCCTATATATTAATCCAGCATCCTAATGAAGAACATCAATTATCAGCTTAAACATTAGCAATATATAAGTATGTGTGTGTATAATCACATAGAACACATATGTAAATATATACCACATACATAATAGAAATTAAACTATAAGATTTTAACTTGACCACTTTGTTTTAGGTCTGTAAATAACTAAAAGACAAATATGTACCACAGTATATAAAAACAAGTAAGGTAGGTTTTTAGTGAAATAATAGTTAACAGAATATCTAAAACCTTTAGGAGTTTGATTTTTAAAAGGATGAATCAAAAACTTGAAAGAATTTAGCTCATCTCTTTTCCACCCATTATCCTTCCCAATTCTGAAACTATTGGTAAGTTATTTACCAAAAATACATTTCTAATTAGTAGGGCAGCATAGATAAAGGAAAAGGCTTTATAACCCTATTAACAGTCTCCTAGAAATATTTCATTATCAGAAAGGACATGAAGGGTTAAGTAGAAAAAAAGGGTTAGGTAGGAAAAATAACAATGTAATGATTGGTTTTAAAATGAAAAATTAAGACCTGGTAAGTAATTTGAATTGTCAATACTTGTTAATTTACAATACTTGTAAACACTGGTGATCAGGATGCTTAAAGAACTCACTGAGTATGGAAAACACATAAGGTAAGAAATGAGTGAAATAAAGAAAAATCTACAGGGAACCAACAGTGAAGGGAAGGAAGCTAGGTTTCAAATCAATGATTTGGAACATAAGGAAGAAATAAACATTCAATCAAAACAGAAAGAAGAAACAAGAATTCAAAAAAAAGAGGAAAGTATAAGAAGACTCCTGGACATCTCCAAACGTGCCAACATCTGAATCATAGGGATGCCAGAAGGAAAAGAGGAAGAGCAAGAAATTGGAAACTTATTTGAAAAAATAATGAAAGAAAACTTCCCTGATTTGGCAAAGGAAATAGGCATATAATAAGCCACGGAAGCACAGAGAGCCTCAGACAAGTTGAACCCAAAAAGGACCACACCAAGACACATCATAATTAAAATGCCAAAGGTTAAAGATAAAGAGAGAATCTCCAAAGCATCAAGAGAAAAGCAGAAAGTTACCTACAAAGCAGTTCCCATAAGACTATCAGCTAATTTCTTAAAAGAAACCTTGCAGGCAGGAAGGGACTGGCAAGAAGTATTTAAAGTGATGAAAAGCAAGGGCCTACAACCTAGATTACTCTGTCCAGCAAAGCTATTATTTAGAATGGAGGGGCAGATAAAGTGCTTCCCAGACAAGGTAAAGCTAAAGGAGTTCATCATCAACAAGCCATTATTACATGAAATGTTAAAGGGACTTATTTAAGAAAAAGAAGACCAAAACTATGAACATTAAAAAGGCAACAAATTCACAGCTATCAACAACTGAATCTAAAAAAAGGGGGAAAAAGCAAACAGCCAGAACAGGAACAGAATCATGGATATGGAGATCATTTGGAGGGTTATCAGCTGGGAAGGGGAAGGAGGAAAATGGGGAAAAAGGTGCAGGGATTAAAAAGCATAATTGGAAGTATAAAATAGACAGGGGGATGTTAAGGATAGTACAAGAAAAGGAGAAGCCGAAGAATTTATATGCACAACCCATGGACATGAACTAAGTAGGGGATTGCTGGAAGGAAGGAGCATACCAGGTAGAAGGTGGCAAAGGGGGAAAAATTGGGACAACTATAATAACATAATCAATAAAATATACTTTAAAAATATCTAGGCAGAAGAATTAAAAACATAAAACAACAGGACATTCAGTTTATTCATATATAAATGTGGGAGACCATAAACCTGAAGAGTAGTATTAAAATAGCTTTAAATATTTTCTAACACTGTCAAAATCTTCAAAATCAGATGCAGAACTTAAAACACATGATAAAAGTTCATTAATTTTCTACACATGCAACTCACAAAAGTGCATGTAAAATCTGATAAATTCCAACTGAGTTACTAGTATTGTATGAAGGTCATTTTCCTGAATTTGACAATGTATTGTGGTAATTAATGTATGTAGTATTTGTCGCAAATACTGTCATTGGGGCAAACTGGGGGGAAAATACAAGAAGGGAATTAGCTTTTAACAATTTCAGCAATTATTTTAGCAGTTTGTTGGGAGTAAAATGATTTCAAAATTCAAAGGGTTTTTTTGCTTGTGTTTTTTTATCATCACTCGAGGACAAGCTCACTGATTTTAGAGAGAGGGAAACAGAGAGAGAGAGGAGAGAAACATCAATGTTTCTCTCATGTTGTCTCTCGTACTAGAAACCAAACTCGCACCTTAAGCATGTGCCCAGACTGGGAATCAAACCCGCTCTGACTGACATTTCAGTTTATGGGACCATGCCTCAACCAACTGAGTCACACAGGCCAGGGCTGTTTGTTTTGTCGTTGTTATTGTTGTTGTTGTTTTTTAAAGCACATAAATAACGCTGGATTGTGGAAGTGAAAGGGAGTTGATGTAAATTTTACTAAAAAATCCATCCTAAACATTATCACCAACTGAATCTTTCTCAACTAAAAGACTTTGCTCCCACTCTCCCTTTTAAACTGATCATTGGCTACCCACTGACTAATGAGTTAAATTTTTATTTCCCTTCCTGGAATGCAAAAGCCTATAGGACCCATACAGAAACTCCTTCTCTCCTCACTCTTTCTTTGTTTTTCTTTTTGGTGTAGTAAATATTTCAGTATGTGTCAGGCAATGGTCCTCGGATCTGGGGATACAACAATAAGTCTTCACCCTCAGAGAACACACACTCTAATCGCTGAAGACAAGGCAACAATTCACAAAAAAACAAACAAACCCAACATTCTTAGGATGTTAGTGATCCTATATACATACTTTCTAAGTGCTAGGTAGCCGAGGTGGCTAAGAAAGGACCCGGAGCCAGAAAAGTCCAATTAAGGGCTTTTATTCAAGGAGGAACTCTGCAACCAGGGGACGGTTGGAACAGAGGACAGCCCCAAGGGAAAGGGTAGAAAAGCTTTTAAGGTATGTAGCAGACCCCCAGCGAGGGTGAGTCACCTTGCTCACCTGCTCCTGGTGTCCTGAGTATCTGATTAGGGAGGGCTGATTCTGTAGAAAGTTGAAGGGAGAGGGAAGGGGGCAATGAGAAAGCGGCTCTGCCTCAGCTTCTGATACAGGGAATCTTGTGGTCAGGTATTCAGCCAGTGACTATACCTTCTTTGTTCCTGCACAGGCGGTGGTTTAGGTCCATGTCCCAATACATTCCACCACTAAGTACAATGAAGAAAAATAAAGCAAAGTAAGTAGAATGAGGAGCGGCAGGAATGGGGAGGAGAGTTTATACAGAGAAGTGAGGACAGAGTTTTCTAATGAAGGTGACCTGAAAGAAGTGAAAGGTGAGCCATGCAGCCACTTAGGAGAAGAGAGCTGAAACAAACACCCTGAGGTGGGGCTCGTGGCCTGATAAAGGAATACAATAGATAGACCTGGTTAGAGAAGAGAAGAGAGAGCAAGGAAGAAAGTAGTGGGAATTGGGGGAGGGGAAAAAATTCTGTAGTAGCTTATAGGCTACTTTGAATGGACTTTGGCTTTTTCTCCAAATGAGGTGAGAAGTCAAAAGCAAAGGAAGGACAGGATCTGACTTGTAAATTCTAGTGCTAACTCATACAGTTTCCCCTTATTACTCTGAGTTCAAACTAAAACCTGCCTTGCATTTTCCCAGCTCTGTAGCTTGTGAAATTAATTAAATAAGAAGGCCCTAAGACTGAATAGGCTAAAATGTCATGGTGGCCTACTCAAGCAAACCAAAATCTAAGCTTGTAAATGTCTCAAGGCTAAAAATCAAAATGTGAATGATAACCAGTCAGGTTTTAAGCTACAGCCAGTCAAATAATTTCCTTTCTTTGTTTTTGCACTATCTCTATAAATCTTTCCCCTGGCTTCTGTCTGTGGAGCGCTCCTACTGGCTTGAGTTTGGCGCTATCTGACTGGAATGGATTTTTGCTCAAATACACTCTTAAAATTTTTAATATGCCTCAGTTTGTCTGTAACAGTTTCACTCAATTTTTCTTCCCAACTACACTCACCCTTCTTAGAACAAAATCAGATGTATCTCAGTTTCTAGATTCCTTCCAGGTAGGCAGTGTTCTTCCTTCCTGGGATCTCATCTCCTTACCCATTTCCCCATTCCAACTTGGCCAATGACTCTCTGGTGACTTTGGCTTTTTATTTACTGCTAAGGCTTGTTCATATGTCTTTTTTTTCACTGAGGTTTAAATCTATTTTCTTTTTTTATTTTTTATTTTTTATTGTGTCCATGTAGCAGCTAGCCAAAAGCTATACTGGTAGTAGGTATGCAATAAACTTTTTAAAACTATGAATTTAATAAAAAGAAGCACTTTTTAATGCTGTTAAGATATGCTTACAGACAGCTTAAAGTTTTGTAAAGGAAGCCTCAGGGAAGAAAACTGAGAAGGCCAGGTGACTCTGAGTAGGGCCTGTACTCATACAGACAGCCTCAAAGGAGGGGCCCAGCTAGATGGCAGTCTAGGCATAGAACAAGTTAGGCTCAAGGTCCAGGGAGAAGGATCCAAGGCGCCTTCATTTGCAAAGTTAGCGAGACTCTCTCCAATAAGCTCTGTAGTATTACCAAAAGAAATAAGTTAAAAGGGGAGTGTAGTATTATGATTTACAAAAAATAATACATATATATTTGGTCATTCAAATGGCAAAAATATATTTTTCATATATCTTTGGTATTTGTCAACAGTTCTTGGCTCATAGCTCCCTAAACCCTGGGATCTTTCCTAAGTATTGAGAGTCATAAAGATATCTCTTGTTACGTTAATGAGGTGAGTTTTAGAAAGCACCCAAGAATTGATACTTGTTGCAATGGAGCCAACCTTGTTGATTAGAGGGTTGGAACTTTCAGTCCCACACCCTGACA